ATTTTAAGATCTTAATTCAATCATTTAATCTGAGCCAGACTATTCATACTCCAACTCGTGTAACTCCACAGTCGGCCTCATGTATCGACAATTTTTTTACTAATGTACAATTCATTGAATCCTCTGTCACAAACACCACTCTGATCATTACGGTATATCCCTTGCGATTGCATCTAAGGCGAAACCATTCAACAATAAAATAAGTTATTCGAGAATTTTCGACTCAGCCAATAAGCTATGTTTCAAAGCCTTACTGGAAAAAGATAGCCTCGTATTTCAGGATAATAATGACGCTAATGCTTTATTTAATAATTTCATGTCATTCTTTCTATACAATTTTAATTTAGCTTTCCCTTCTTCAAAAAAATTCCAGGCCCCTAAACGGAATTTGCCCTGGTTCACTAAGGGCTTATGTATATCATTCAATAGATTAAAATTTCTAGAGCGTCTATCCAAACGGAATGGTACTTTATCGTTCCAAATTTACTTTTTGAAATATAGGCAAACGTTTAATGATTTAGTTGATCTAGCAAAAATTAAATTCAACGAAGATTTAATACGGCACTCCTGAACTGAATCCAGAACGTAAATCTGCGGTAGAAATTAAATCTTTGACAATTAATGATGTAATAATTAATGACATTAATGATATTTCCAACGAAATGAATAACTTCTTTGTTAATGAGGCTTCAAATTTGACTTCCTCCATCATCTCGAACATCACTTGCTGCTCCCCTGTTTCGTATATTGTTAGAAATATTCATAGCTTTGTTTTATTTCCTGTCACAATTGAGGAACTTACAAGTACTTTTAAAGCTATTAAATCTTCCTATTCCGCGGGACCGGATGAAATTCCTACATGCATCATTAAAGAATTCTATCCCCTTTTTATTGATAACCTATTAATATGTATTAATAAATGCTTTGAGCTGGGAGTTTATCCAAACCACCTTAAGCACTCCAAAATCCGCCCTCTTCATAAAAAAGGCGATAAAAATATTGTGAGCAATTACAGACCTATTTCTCTTCTTAATTCTTTTGATAAGGTGTTTGAAAAAATTTTGCACGTCAGAATCTCTGGGTTCTTAAATAAATACAATATTTTGTTTCACAACCAACATGGTTTTCGGAAAAAACACTCTACATCGCACTCGGTTTTTAGCCTCATCCAAAATGTTATTAACTCATTTGAAGATGGAAGTTATTGTGTAGCCGTCTTTTGCGATCTCTCCAAAGCGTTCAACAGTATATCTCACAATATTCTCATTGATAAGTTAGAAATGTATGGTTTTCGTTCTAGCTCGCTTAAATTACTAAAATCTTATTTAACAAACAGAACTCAAAGCGTATATTTGGACAATAGCACCTGTGGTAAAGTTATATCCAGGAAATTAAACGTGAAAATGGGTGTCCCACAAGGATCAATTCTTGGACCGCTCCTATTTCTTCTTTACATTAACGACCTACCTAATTGCTCAAATCTTTGTGACTTTATTTTGTTCGCTGATGACACTTGTCTAACCATCAAAGCTAGAACATACGATGACCTCGTAACGAAATTGAACAGTGTCATGGATTCCGTTTCGAAATAGTTCAATATAAATAATCTTCTTTTAAACAACGACAAAACCCAAATTATTTCTTTCTGTACAGCGACGCGCGTAGCGAATGATATTTCCTCATTTACAATTAATAACTATTCATTTGACTCCTCTTCAGTATCTAAATTTCTTGGAGTTTATATCAATAAGTATCTTAACTGGTCTGAACACGTTTCCAACCATTTATGCTTCAAATTAACGCGTACATGCTTTATCCGGCGAACCCTTAAATCAAAAATTGGAATATCCAGTTTACTTTCTATTTATTACGCAAATTTCTATTCACACATTGCTTACGGTATCCAATTTTGGGGTTTCTCTAATGAACTAATTAAAGTTTTTAAACTTCAAAAGAGAGCAATTCGAATAATTTTTTCACTATCCTCCAAGACATCATGCCGTAATATCTTCAATGAACAAAAAATTTTAACAGTACCGAGTATATTTGTTCTAGTCACACTTAATTTCATAAAAAATAATCCAGACTCTTTTAATTTGTCTTCGATGTCAAATACCAAGCACAATACGAGACATAAAATAATTAAAGGTAGGACCTATAAACTACACAGTTCCTTTAATACTATCTGCGGTATGGGTATACAATTTATGAATAAACTGCCGTTACGTGTTCGTACCCTTGATAACAAGAAATTTCATAAAGTACTAAGTAATGCGTTAAAGGATTTAACTTTTTATAGCCCTCTGGAGTTTTTAAATTTCGATTTTTCAAATTACTTTCCGGAAAATCTCAACTAATCATTAACGCGACTTTTCCCGCTCGAAGAAATTTCTCTATTACAGGCAGCAGCAAGATCGATGGATCGACGATGGCAAAAATCCCTCCGAATCTACGGGCCCAAACTAACTGATGTCACTTACCAGCCATGTCTATGTGTACTATGCTCGTGACAACATAATTCGTTCCTTAAACTAAATACTTCTAAATTACTATTATTATTATTATTATTTCTTTCTTTGTTTATTTTTCTTTCTTTTTTTTTTTTTTTTTGTTTTATATAACTGTTATTGTTATATTGTTATAATACTTAATAATTAGTTAATTAAACACTTACAATTTAAAAAAACAAAAAATTTTTGAGAAACTTTTTTTTTTTTTTTTTTTCCCTAATTATTATTTTCAAAAGACTGTTATTGTTAAAATACTTAATAATTAGTTAACTAAAAACTTATAATTCAAAACACTTTAAAATTGTGAAACAAAATTTTAATTTTTTTATTTTGACTGTTATTGTTACAATACTTAATAATTAATTAAACAAAAACTTATATTTAAAAACACCTAAAAATTGTGAAACAAAATATTTCCTTCATCAAAATACCTAAAAATTTGTAAAATAAAAAAAAAAATTGTAAAAATATTTAACAATAACAATTAAAGTGATAATGATAGTATTAATAATAATAATAATTACAATAATATAAGATACTTAAATTTGTTAAAATATCATAAAATAACCTAAAATTTGTTAATATTGTAAAAGTATGTATTGTAAAGCTTATTAAAATTACTTATTAAATTTTTAAAAACACTTGTAACAAACAAACTAGTTATATTTAAAAAAAAAAAAATATATAATTAAGTAAATATAAATAGGTTTATAGTAAATAAATTAAGTAATAAAATAGCTAATAATTTATTAAATTATATTAAACCTATAAAATATTGACTTAAGCCTTATTATAATATTAAATATTATACCGACGGCTTGTAAAATTAATAAATAAATAAATAAATAAATAAATAAAATAAACTCACATTATCAACGAGTCTACATCAGTTAATTGCGGTTTCATTTCAAGATATAATTAATTAATAATAAATGGCCCACTAGCGCCATAAAACCATTAATTTCAGCATTTCTTAAAACAGTTTTAGAAAAAGATGGCACAGAAGTGAAAGCACCTCAGTAATAATGCTGCTTGCAGAAGGATAGACGAAATGAGTGACGATATTGAAAACCAATTAATTGATAAGTTAAAAACCAGACATTTTTCAATACAAATAGATGAATCGATCTTGAGAGACAGTGGGGCTGTATTGCTGGCATATGTACAATTTATTGATGCAGGGCAATTTTCTGAAGAAATGTTATTCTGCGAAAGACTGGAAGACACTACTAAATCCCAAGACATATATAATAAGTTAACAAACTATTTAGAATTGAAGAACATATCTATGAAAAATATAACATCTTGTGCTGTAGATGGTGCTCCTAACATGATGGGCAAGAAAAATGGCTGCTTGAAATTGATTAAAGATATAAATCCTGAAATGGTTATTGTGCATTGTGTAAATCATAAGGAACACTTAGTTGTAAAAATATCTCGCCTGTTCTAAATGAGGTATTACATGCAGTTATAAAATGCATTAATGCTATTAAAGCCAGTGCCAAATCTGAACGTCTTTTTAGGCTGTTTTGTGAAGAGCAAAATGAAAGCTATGTGAGACTTTTGCTTCATACTGAAGTAAGATGGCTTTCCAAAGGAAATTGCTTAAATAGATTTATGCAACTCTTCGATGTTAAGTGAATTTTTAAATGACAAACCTGAAATGAAGATTTTATTAACTATCGATGGTAAAGCGTTTGTAAGTTATTTAACAGATATATTTGAAAAATTGAATATATTAAATAAACAACTCCAAGGACCAAATAAAACACTTGTCGATGCGAAAGCGAAGATATTTGGTTTCATTACAAATATTGAATTGTATATAAAACAAGTTAGCAACAGAAATTTCTTGGAATAAATATTTATAATAAAGTAAACGAATAGCTCAAAGCACAAAGATTAAAATGGGAAAAGTGCAATTTGGTGTCTTTGGATAAAGCTTCAGCTATGCTGGGTCATATTTATGGTTTTTCAGTTTTTGTAAGGCGAAATAACCCACACTCATGATGTTATCAAGATTATAAATTTTATCAAGGGACATGCACTAAATACGCGGCTATTTTGTGAATTATGTCAGGATAGTGAAGCTGAGACCTGCCTCCCTTATTATACAGAAGTAAGATAGCTCTCTCGCGGTAATATTTTAAATTGAGTATGGACTCTTAAAAATGAAGCTGAAATCTCTAGGGTTTTTCAAAAAAATATTGTTGCTGAAAATTTTAAAAACTCTTCCTCAGTGGCATATTTCGCATATTTAGCAGACATTTTTGAGAGCATAAATATATTAAAGAATTACACGAAAAGCATATTAATACTTTTTCAGCGAATATTGGAGGCAGAAAGTAGAAGAGAACAAGATAGCATCTTTTCCAAGGTTAGCTTTGTTTTTGGAGAATTGTAAAAAAATTACTTCACCTGGTAGAACTTTCCAGATCTGGATACACGTATTGTGAGTGGATTGTAGATCTTTTTAAATGTGAAACTTTCATGATACCGGAAAAACCAGCAGGTTTGGCAGAATCAATTCTGGAAATTCGTTTAAATACCGAAGCACGTATTGAATTTGGAAGTGAACAAAATCTGTCATGTTTTTGGATGTCAAAAGCTGCAAAGAGTTTTGAAATAGCACATGAAGAAGCGGTGAGAAAAATGCTTCCATTTGGAACCACATATTTGTGCAAAACTTTTCCAGTCTGATAAACATAAAATCGAGGAGAAATAGATTGAATGCCGAAGATTGTATTAAAATTTCTCTGACATGTTAAAGTCCGGATTTTGAAGAAATTGTGTCAAACATGAAGCAATACAATTTCTCCAAATCGTAATGTTCTTACATTACATGTATGCGTGTTTATTGTCACTTGTGGCATTAGTTATAGTAATGGGCCAAACATCAAAAATGAAAATTTTTCCATTTCTTCACGTATCAGAGGTTTTTGAACATTTTGCCATACCTCAGAAAAAATGGATGTATGTGTGTGTTTTGTGTGTCCGCATTTTTTCGTTCAGGTTTTCGGGCGCACGGATTAACCGATTTGAATGGTTTATTCAACATTCGGTTCCTATTGATGCGGAGATATGCTGATTAGTATTTGGCAAAGGCAGGACCAGCCGTTACGAAGATACGGAGTAAAGAGTGCAGAAAATAGAAATCAAGTTTTTTAGAGAACGGAGTGTCGCATTTGAGTGATCAAAAAACATTCAATTTGTAATGATTGGAAGAAGTAGTGCTTAGGTTTTGGCAAAGACACGTCCAGTCATGCCGAAGATACAGAGCTAAATATGCAAAAAATGGCTGTTTTTGAGAGAACTAAGCGTCCGATTTAAATGATTCAAAGAACTTTCTGCTTGTCTTAACAAAATAATTGATTTTGGAAAAAAAAAAAATTTGTTCCAATTTTGTTCCAATTTTTTTTTTTTTTTTGTATATCGAAATTATTTCAGATTTTATTTTTAATTCTGACTATAGTTCTAATATACTTTACAAAAAATTTCAACTCTGCAATTCAGTTTATATAATTCTTATAAATATTAGACAATGTTACAATATTTATAATAATCTATTTGAAAACATTCAGTATTCCACGAACATTTCGTTACGGTACGGGAAGTTCCAGCAATTTGCCATAATTGCCTCAAGACAATTCCACTTACAGCTAGTTTACATTATCTATGGTACCTACACTCTCAGTAACGTGATCTTTGTTGTATGTACACTTTTGTTGTTTGGATTCGAAAGCCATTTATCGTTTGGAGCTCTGTGATATTTATATTTGTTGTGCGCTGCAGTAATTTACAACTGAAATTATAATCCGCTGAAAAATATTTTTTGTGCTAAATCAGGTAATTATTTACAAATCAATTGGTATAGCTAGTAGTTTCTGCTTGTATTTTTAAAAGTATTTTATTTATTGATTTAGATTAGATGCCAGCCCTAAATCCTACAGAAGAATAACGTGTTTCTTTTGAGTAACATAAGTTCTGATGAAGATACAAGAAGACTACAGGCTAAAAAGCCGAAACTTTATGCACGTAGAAAGCAAAAATTTTTGAGAGAATGGGTGAATGATACCAAGTTCAACACGTGGTTAATGCCAGATGTATCAGACAAGTTTAAAGCTAGATGCAGATTATGTAATACATCCTTCACTGCTGAGCTCACGATAATTAAAAATCATGGCAAATCTAAAAGTCATTTGTTATCAATCACTTCGGCTTCGAATCAAAAATCAATTCAATCATTTACTCAAAAAAAAAAGTGGAAACATCATTTGATAACAAAGCAACACGTGCAGAAATAAAACTTTGTGAATTTCTAGCTGAGCACAATCTTCCTTTTCGGTTAATGGACCACCTGACACCTCTTTTAAAAGATTGCTTTCCAGATTCAAAAATTTGCCCAGGATTTGAGGTTAAAATCATCAAAGTCTGCTGCTGTAGTGTCAAACGTAATTGGAGCAACTGAAAAAGAAGATTTATCTATAAAGATAAGAAATGTATTATTTAGTGTTCTAAATGACGAGTCAACTGACATTTCTAGGACACAAAATTTATGCATTATTGTTAGATTTTATGATGCTGAGCCAGGCAAAATCACCAGTCGCTTCTGGGTGTTGTATCAGATTTTTAATGAAGAAGATAAATCATCTGAAGCATCAGCAAAACATATTTTTAACTGCGTTGAAAAATCTTTTCAAAAATACTCAGTTCCACTCACAAATATCATAGGGTTTGGATCAGATGGGTGTGATACTATGATGGGGGATAAAAATTCAGTAAGAACACGATTTGAGCAGAGATGTCCTGGAATTTACATAATGAAATGCCTGTGTCACTCATTACATCTCTGCGCAAGTAATGCTTGTTCTGAATTACCCCCAGAATGTGAAAAATTACCACAGCTGGTTCATAATCATTTTTCAGTGAGCTCAAAACGCCAATATGCATACAAAAGAATTCAATCGATATTGGATTTGAAACAGCATAAAGTTTTACAACCTGCTCAGACCCGCTGGTTACCATGGTTATTATGGTGGTAGAACGAGTGGGAGGCATTAATTTTATATTTCAATCAATTAAATTATAAAGAGGGATACAGGAAGATGAGTAAAAGGAGGAAAGATGATAGTGATGGAACAGATGAAAATGAATCTGAAGTTGCAAGAATACTTCAATACTTGCGAAATCCCATAATAAAACCTTACTATCATTTTTTATTATGGATTTTACCTAACTTCACGAATTTAAACAAGTTATTCCAGTCCGAAAACCCTATTATTATGTCAGTTCATAAGAAAAGTAGTGTGACATAATTGGATTTATTAAAAACATATATGAATGATGACTACGTAAATAAAACACCCATATATAATATTAAACCATCGGATCAGACTAAATAAGAATATTCAAAATATTTATGTTGGAGTAAAAGTTTTTAAATATTTTAACCAAGCAGACTTTTCAAAACATCCTCGTTTACAAGGAAATGCAAATTGCAAAATTCAGGAAGTTTATAATTCGAAGATGTGAAGAAATAAAAAAACGATTCGATTTCAATGATACTATATTGAAAAATTTATCAGTAAAGAATCCTGCGGACGCAATGAATGGTAAAACAGTAATCACTACGCCAAGTTTGCTACCATTATTGAGTAAACTGCCCCGATTATTAAACCCAAGTCAAAGTCAAATTATTGATAATGAATGACGAAGATTTCATTATTTTGAATTGCCGGATGACATTAGTAAAATTTTAATTTACAAAGATAAGGAAGAGGTTTGGAGTTTTGAAAACTTAGCTAAATTTTTCTTAAATGTTATGTCATTACCTCATGCTAATGCCGAATGTGAGCGAATATTTGCAAGATTGGATTAATAAAATGCCAAACACGCAACAAATTGGTAACTAATACACTTAACGGGCTATTGTTAAGTAGTCAGCGAATCAACCATAACTGCGTTGGTTACGAACCATCTAAAGATGAATTTTGTAAAATGAAGAAATCTTTATATGCTACTTCCACAAGCAATAGTGAAAGCCACTCAATTGATACTAATACCAGTGATGCTGACCAACCAAACGTCGATCTGGATGACATATCATATTTTAGTTAAAAAAAATTGTATTTGTTGTATATAATATCTTATATATAAAAATGGATCGCAAAATGTGTTGGTAAGCGCATAACTCAACAACGCCTGGACCAATTTGGCCAATTCTTTTTTTAAAATGTTCGTTGAAGTCCAAGGATGGTTGTTACGGCGAAAAAAAAACGAATGATTGCCGGGAAAACCCTAAAAACAGCCCTTTTCTTCTTTAATCGAGTAGGCAACGCAATTTGTAAAAAAAACAATGATCTATGTCATGACATTTTGTGTAGTTTTTGATAATCTAATTTTGAATATATTTATACAAACATAGAAATATCTTTCTATTAATCAAGCTATATTGGCAGCCAAAAACATTGATGTAAATTAATTAAAATTCAAAATTCAAGAACAAATTACAGGCGAATCAGTTGATTCGGCAACTAACCAAGACGATCCACCGGAGTTTTTTTAACTCGCTGGATTTGCTAGGATTGTCACCTCAAAATCTTCAATTAAAGGTTGGATCGGCAATTTTAATGTTGCGAAATATCGACCAACTATATTCAAAGGATAGTATAAAGCAGAAGATGTTCTCGCACCATGCATCCCAATGCGTTTCCAGTGCGTTTATGGTATCATTAAGTGTTTGTGATATTAATTTAGAAAACCCATGTTTCTCACATGGAAAATTGTATGTTGTTTGTTTCCGTATTGGAAAACCATCAGATTTGTTTGTCTATGCGCCAGGTAATCAAACAAAAAACATCGTTTATCACAAAGCACTACAATGACAATTGAACTAATTTTTGAATTATGATTTATATTATTAAAATTACTTACTTTTAAATGCTTATAGTGTTTTATTTATTTTTAATTCACACCGAATTATTACCAGGGTGATGGTTCTGTTCAGGATAATTTTTTGCAAAGAATAGAAAAAAGGTAGGCACAAAACACCGCCACATTACAATTTTTTTTGACAGGACAAAGTCTGTCGGGCCGGCTAGTTATATATATATAAGATTTATAACTGTATAAATGTCATTTAATAAATAAAAAAGTAAATCGTCTAATTTTAATTTTAACAAACGTCAAAAAAACTACTCATTTTCTCCAACTTTGATGAATTTTTAAAATTAAACTACTTGTCGTAAGGCCGTATTATTTCAGTAAGTTCTATAAGACCATGATATATATCGCCAAAAAAATTCCATAAAATTCGATTTTAATTTTTTTGCAACAATTAATTACAAGAAAACGGTTCGATAGATTTTCACCTAAAACTAAATGTAGCACCAACTAAAACTAATCCGTATCATTCCCAAATAATATCTTTTAAAAAGTTTTTGATTTTTTAAAATCGATTCGGTAGTATGAGCTTAAATATAGACGAAAAGTTTAACAATTTTTTCCAAATTACTATTTTCGTCGATTTTTTTAAATTAAACGACTTGCCGTAGGACCCTAATATTTCAGTATGACCTATAAGACTGTAGAGACAGACCCTGCAATTGACCACCATAGGAATGGTGGTAATCGCCAATAGAAAACATCCAAGTGATTAAGGTTAGGGTATATAACTTAACTTAGACCCATGATCGAATACCTATTCACTTATCACTTGTATTGTAACAATATTACATTCCGCCGCGCATTGCAGAAATCGTATTGTTTAAATTCAAAGGTAAGTAGTATTTGTTAATATCGTCACGTTTATATTGTCACGAGTGACTCGTTTTCATAGGTATCTTATTAGTTAACTTTTGTTTTGGGTACCTACAAGTGTTTTTGACATGGTTTCTACTCCATCTGGCAAAAAGCGCACTTATAAAGAAGCATTTCTACAATGGGGTTTCACAAGCATCACAGACAAAAATATAGAAAAGCTTCAGTGTGTTTTATGTAATAAAGTCATAGACCTTATACAATACATGGACTGCTAGTTGAGCGCATAAAAAGTGTCAAAAGATGTTCTATGGTATGAGGGCATACGAGGGTAATTTTGCGGCCGAGATATATCAAATACGAACACGAGCTTTACCGAGATTAGTCGAATGCACTCGATCGCTTAAATTTTACAGTTACTTGGGTTTACGTGATGTTTGATCGCTCGGGTTTTTAAACTAAAAGAGGATAAAAATATACCTGTTGTAAAATTGTTAAAAGTAAAATGTCTTCTAAAATGTGTTTGGTCTGTGGTAAAGTTCCTAATTGCAGTAAAACCTGTTCTGAATGCTTCGCAAGTATTCCGGGAAATTCGACATTCATCGATATAAAAAATCGAGGATATCTTTCATATCCTTCCGATGAAATGTTTAAATTATATTTATATATAGAAACCCTAATTCGAAATTCTTTAAATTTAATGTACAAAAGTTCATATGAAAGCACGATTCTCCAAAAGTTGAATGACTTGCGACTTGCACATTTTTTTAGATCAAGCCATTTCCAGCAATTTGTCCAGCACTATCATGACCTTATCAACTTTGTCGCAAAAATGTATTTAACAATTAGAATGCACCATGAAGAACATAAAAAATCAAAGTTGATAAATATGTACGCCACTTTCACACAAAAATTGTGCTTTTTAAACACCAATAATAAATATATTACATTTAAACAAATATTTCATTATTGCTTTCTAATTTTCCACAATAGCTCTAGCCAACTGTTTTTATTTCCAGTGAATTTTATAATATGTGAAATATTTTTTTATTTTCTTTTCTTATTTTCCTTAAACACTTTGTATAACGAAAATAAATAAATAAATATATAAATAGTTCATTACATTCATTAGTTTAACATAAATTGTATATTATATAATATTTTCCCAACAATTTCGAACACACGGACTTTCATTTGACGTTCAAGCGACCGAGTTTGACATTTTCGGCCGCGAAATTACCCTCGTATGCCCTCATACCATAGAACATCTTTTGACACTTTTTTACTTGAGAAATGTATGGGGACTAGCAGTCCATGAAGTTGTATAAGGTCTATGAATAAAGTGTATAATTCAGAAAGCATGAAACCGAACAAATTAAAAGAACATTTTGCTACAGTTCACAAGCAGTTTGCAGATTATATATAGATTTTTTTAAGAAAAAGGAGAAGATTCTGAAGTTTTTGCGCATGGATTCTACAGGCAACATACAGAAAGCAAATGAATCATACCTTCAAGCTTCATACAAAATTGCTTATCGCATCGCACGTAATAAAAAACCACACACTAAAGGAGAGGACCTCATCAAACCTTGCTTATTAGATGCGGCAACACTTGTTATAGGTAAGCAACATGTAGCTAAGATTAAACAAATATCACTCTCAAACAATACCATTCAAAGACGCATATGTGAAATGAGTGCCGATATTTTAGCAACCGTTATTGCTGAAATAAAGGAAAGTCCTATGTTTGCACTGCAGTTGGACGAGTCCACAGATGTTGCTTCGTGTTCACAATTATTAATGTTCGCATGATACATAAAAAATGATGATGTAAAGGAGGAATATTTGTTTTGCAAGTCTTTGCCCACTACTACTCGCGGCGAAGACGTATTTCAAACGCTAAAAGAGTTTATTGAGGAAAATGGCCTGGACTGGTTAAAGCTGGTTGGTATTTGTAGAGACGGGGCACCTTCCATGATGGGTATCCGTTCTGGTTTTCAGTCACTTGTGAAACAAGTTGCTCCTCAAGTTTTCAACTATCATTGTTTGAGACAACGTTACGCTTTGGCTGTAAAAACACTCCCACCAGATTTGCTAAACACGTTGAGTGATATAGTAAAAATTGTTAATCATATTCGAGGCAGCGCTACTAACTCAAGATTATTTAAAGTTTTGTGCGATGAAGTTGGTGCTACATTTAATGCACTTTTGTACCATACAGAGATACGTTGGTTATCAAGAGACAACGTTCTAAGTAGGGTCTATGAATTACGAGAAGAAATTGGATTGTTTTTTGAAAACCAGAGAACACAAAAAGGAAAAGAATATTATGCAAAAATTAAACACCATATATTTGTTCTAAAAATAGCGTACCTTGCTGATTTTTTACTGAAATTAATAATCTGAATATTTCACTGCAAGGAAATGAAACAAATATTTTGATGCTGCAGGATAAAATCGCAAGTTTTTTACGCAAATTGGAATTTTACCAACGCAGAGTTTAAGCTGGTGATGTGTCGATGTTTACACGACTAAGTGAACAATTACTAAATAATAAACGAGACAAAATCACATTTGAAAATTCTGTGGTGTAACACTTAACTGCCGTGATAGACTCACTGCAGCAATATTTTCCCGACATGGACATTCGTGAGTGCTACTCCTGGATTTTAAGACCATTTTCTACTTGCGTCGATATATTCAAGGACGAAGATGTGTCAGCTAGTGTTTCGGGCTGCGTGAAAATAACTTATTGAAAGTTGATTTTCAAAATGATAAACTCTGCACATTTTGGCGAAAAGCAGCTGCAGAATATCCCATCATAGCTGACAGAACTTTAAAGATCTTGATTCCACTTGACTCAGTTTCTCAACTTTTCTTATATTAAAAACAAAAGCCAGAAATCGTATGAACATTGAGCATGATATGAGATGCTTGTTGAGTGAAGCTGAACCTAATATTGTGAAACTTGCGACACTTAACTCAACGCAAAGCAATTTCAACCTTCGCACTAGTACTCTAAGATTTACATATAACTTTATATTACTAGCATGGCCGGTAATCTCCGAACAAATGTAGAGAACCCTGTTTTGAAATGGCTTAATATTCGAATTTATCGAAGAATGGCGCCACTATTAACAATTTGATACATTGGAAAGAAAAATAGATGGCTGCACTCATATATAAATGAGCATGGCTGCACTGCTAATCGTCGTTTCTTGTGGGAAAAACCCATCGGAAAATCATGCATTTGATCGCCATTTTATGTCTAAGTTGTGATAGCTTCTTGTAGTTCTATTATATTTGTTTATCTGTTATACGTTGTGGTCATACTTGTTTTGGTAATTATTTTTTTACTTATTATTAAGTTAAAATGGTGAAGTGTAACGTACCAAATTGTGTTAACACCACAAATAATAAAAAGATGCATGTCTTTCCGGCATCTAATGATCAAGTATGTATATAATGATGTATTATGTTTGTATAATGAATATGATGAAAATACTATGAAAATGTTCTAGATGTTTTCAGTTTGGGTGCAGAGGACAAACAATCCTTTAATGGATGAGGTAACCGAAATCGACATATTTGTGACGCGCATTTCACAAATATTTGCAAAGTGGAATATTTGTCAACAAATTCAAAGACAAATCTAAAAGTTAACGCCCTGCCGACTCTAAATATGCCACGTTAGTATTACAAATATATGAATAAATGAATTTATTTTTAATGGAAATGCTGACTTCATATTTTGCTTGGTATTTATAGGATTCACTGGAGACCCATACTTAGAGAAGAATTGTCTCATGGATAGAGCTAGATTCCGTAAGGATAATGATGATATGTATATATCTTATATATAAAAATGGAGCTGTCTTTCAAATGTCCGAATAAAACTCGAAAACGGCTGAATGGATTTGGCCAGTCTTAGTCTTGAAAAATTCGTGCCAATCCAGAGATTGACCAAAAGGTGAGATAATATTTCAAATCCGCGTAGAAACTTTACATTTTTAATTTGAAAATTTTTGGTAAACAGCACTTGATTCAAAATGGCTTCCCACACAATATTATTCAAATGACAGATGTATCGAGTATCGCTTACTCATGTCAAATAGATGGTTGTCAAGTTGGAACAGTTTATGTGTTATTCTTTTAATTTTAAAATTTAATTATTTATATATTTTTAAATGTTAATAAGAATGCTTATTTTGATTTTATATGAGGGTTTTATTTAATTCTCAAGTGTTTGCTCACTGCCTATTTGTATTCTTTTATCAACAGCTTGAAATAATACTATTATTATTGATTGATTAAGGCTGGCTTATGAAAAAATAAATAAATTAATTTGTTTCAAACGCTGTGCTGTGCAAGTACTTATTGGTTTAATGTGAATAATGTGTTACCATAACATTTTCTGAATTATATTATTATTGCATATAGGTTATTCAAATTGAGATCCTAAATTTGAAATTCATCGAAGGGGACACCATAAACAGCGATATGAATAAGAAAATTGGATTATAACACAGATAGTAATTTTAGAAATCATATTCATAAAAATCTCAATTATGTGTATATACAAGTTGTTCGGATACAAAGTTGCTTGAAAATTGCTTATGAAGATCGCATTATGACATGTTACATCAACATAAGTGCAGTTTAATTAGATATGGAAATAATCATTACAAATATTTACAGTACAATCTATTTGCAATACAAATTTTTCATTACAATTGTGAATAATGTGTTACCAAAACATTTAATGAATTATATTATTATTGCATTTAGGTTATTCAAATTGAGATCCTAAATTTGGAATTCATCGAAGGGGACTCCGTAGACATTTCTGTGTAATCACTTATTGCAAGTTATAATAGACAGCAATATGAATAAGAAAATTGGATTATAACACAGATAGTAATCTTCGGAAATCACAGATCTTCGGAAACAAAGTTGTTTGAAAATTGCTTAGTATCAGCAGTTCGAACTTGCATTATATTACATGATTTCATCATCCAAATAGGTCATCCACAGAAAAAAGTTTTTCCAGCATTCCAATTTGCAATAAAAAAATTGAAATATTTTAACATATCCCACATACAGAATTTTCCTCATTTTGTTCAGATACTAATGCTGTTATTGATCGGGTCTTTTTCCAATTACTTCCCGAACATACTATTTACAAGTCATGGTGATAACAAAGATGCCACTAATTTGGATACACGATTGCAAAAAAAGAAGTCAAAACAAACATATTGAAATTTATTACAATATGAACTCATGTTAAAAATGTGAATATGTGAAAGCAAATTGAGAAAGAAAAAATGTCCATTTTCTATAGCTATATAACAAGCCGGAGAACTCTCAGCATAAAGCATTTCATGGAAAATAATTTTTAAATTGCAACTTACTGATAATAAGCTAAATTATAATCATTTACAACTCCAAGAAGGTTATTGATTATATAATTAATAGAGAAAAATAATAAGATGAATTTAAACAATATTTGTTATTTATTTATTGCTTATTATTAATTTATATACATTTATGTCATGCGATATTACAGAAGAAATTCTAATTTCATTGAGGAAGAAATTTGTCGACTACTAAATTATTTCAAACAAAATTCTTTGAACAATAAATTACTACTAATGTCTAATTTCTTTATTTGTGAATACATTCAGTAAAAACAAATTAACTATGCATTTTTTGACGTTTCTGAAAATTCTTCAATGTTTCAATAGATTAATGTTTACATAGCTGATAAAAATTTTTATTAGTTGATTATATATTGAACGAAAATATTTATAATTATAATTAATATATATTATTATAATAAAGATTGAGAAATATATATCGTTTTTTGTATTATTTATCACCTAGAGATGCATTGTTATAGCTTTATATTGTCTTATATATTTAGTGTTTAACATTTAGAATGGATGCACAGTTTAATATATTATAGATACTATTATATTAGTAATGGTGACATAAATGTAGTGTTATAAATTTCAAGCAACGATTTTTTTACTAATTATTTGTTTTAAAGTTTTTTACATTTTATTTAATTTAATGGAATTTTTTAATATATTTTAAGAATTAGAACAAGAAACAAGCTAAAAAAATTAAAGCTTTGAGGAAAATTATGTTTAAATTACACATTATGATTATGTGTTACTTTGATTATTATTGATTCTTTTTATTACTTTCCTATGTGCATCATGTTTTCTTAAATTCAATTTTTCCTATGTGTTTGAGTTATTTTTTAAGTTTTCGGTTTTATACATTTTTTTAAGCTTATGTTAGTAATAAGTTAAATTTGAATGCAACGGTCATCAGTGCGAACATTGATGTATGAAGTTAGCTATGATATAAGCAATATTGGTTGATTAGTTAACATAAGGATTAATGCTCTGTTTGATTACTCTTCTTTTATCTATGGTTTGAAGCTTAATGCCGAATCAAAGTTATTGTGAAAGATAGTGAGAATACAGAGTTATTGAAGAAGTGTAGTGTTTTAGTGTGATTTAGGAGAATCACTAACTCGAATACAGAGTTACTGAAGTAGTATAGTGTTTTAATGTGATTTAGGAGAATCACAAACCCTATATACAGTAGTATCTATACTATATAAATCTGATACCAGCTGTTCACGATGCCGAGAAGAAATAGACCTGACATTGGTCGTAGAAGTCAAATAACACGCCAAAAACGTAATTCGCGTAATAACCGCACTGATGGGCAAATGGAGACTGATAATAATGATAGCCAGATTGCAATGACAGATTTGCTTGAGTTTAGAGAACAAGTTGCTGCAAATCGATCACAACAGCAGCGAGCACGCGAAAATGAAACTTCTCGAATTCGCAGAAGCAATGCTTCAGTCAACCTGGAGCGAGCAGCATTCTCTTATGATCCGGAAATAGATTACAGTGCCCACAAATTTGTAAAAATTGGAGACATGTCGATCATTTGTCAGCACTGTAAAGCCTTAAAATACAATGGTGAATCTGCAGGACTATGTTGTGCTGGCGGTAAGGTAAAGTTGCCACAATTGGTACCACCACCTGATCCATTACACTCACTAATTTTTGGAATGACCAATGACTCTAAACACTTCTTATCCAACATCCAAAAATATAATAACTGCTTCCAAATGACATCTTTCGGAGCAACGCATATAGTACAGAACAATTTCATACCGACGTTCAAGGTAATATATCATAATGTTTCTAATGTTAATTTGTATTTGTATAAAAAATAAATTGAAAATGTCATAAAAAATTACAAGGTGCAAGGACAAATTCATCACCTATTGGGGGCACTGCTGCCATTACCAGATGCAGATCATCAATTCCTACAAATTTATTTCCTAGGCAATCAGGACGCTGAAGTTGATACGCGTTGTACTCATAATCCATCAGTAAAGCGATCCATTGTCCAACAACTGCAAACGTTTCTTCATCGCAACAATTGTTTAGTGAATTTATTCAAAGTGGCACTTGATCGAATGCCATCAGACAGCCATAATATTGTGATAAGAGCTGACAAAACACCTGCTGGTGAGCATGCAGGAAGATTTAATTCACCAACAATTGATGAGGTGGCTATAGTCGTTGTTGGAGAAAATATGCAATCGAGAGATATTGTGCTTCACCGCCGAAACAATGAATTAAGGCGCGTGTCCGAAACTCATAGGTCTTATGATGCTTTACAATATCCGTTAATCTTCTGGCAGGGAGAAGATGGGTATCACTTTAGTGTCAAAATGGTTAATCCAATAACAGGCAATTATAAACATAATTAAATAATATTTTTTAACTCAATATCTATATTATTATTTGTGATTTTAGGTGCTGAAACCAATAAAAAAGTTAGCGCTATGAATTTTTATTCATACAGGCTGATGATCCGTGATGGTGAAATAAACCACATTTTGATGTGTCAACGACTTTTTCAACAGTTCGCTGTTGACATGTACGTCAAAATTGAGACTGAGCGATTAACATACATACGCTTAAACCAACAGCACCTTCGATCTGAAGAATACATCCATCTTCGTGATGCTATTACTGCCGATGGTAATGCAAACGATGTGGGTAAAATGACAATTTTGCCGGCTACCTACATTGGAAGCCCGCGCCACATGCACGAATACGCACAAGATGCAATGACATACGTTAGAAAATATGGTCGCCCCGATCTATTCATTACATTTACATGTAACCCGCAATGGATAGAAATTAAGAAAGAATTGATACACGACCAAACACCAGGAGATAGACATGATATTACTGCCAGAGTTTTTAAACAAAAATTGAAATCTTTGTTGAATTTCATAATAAAGCATCATGTATATGGCCAAGTACGTTGCTGGATGTACTCAGTTGAGTGGCAAAAGCGTGGTCTTCCACATGCGCACATCTTAGTCTGGTTAATTGACAAAATGAGGCCAGAAGATATTGATTCAGTCATATCAGCAGAGATTCCTAATAAAAATGTTGATCCAAATTTGCATGCAATAATTACTAAACATATGATACATGGACCTTGCGGAGTTTTCAACGATAGCTCGACCTGTATGATTGACGGCAAGTGCTCTAAACGATACCCGAGAAATCTAACTGCTGAAACCATTACTGGAAATGACGGTTATCCACTGTATCGAAGGCAATCAGTTGCGGATGGTGGGCAATATGTAGTTGTGAAGGTAAAAGGACGAGATTTATATGTTGACAACCGATGGATTGTGCCGTACTCCCCGATATTATCCAAAACTTTTCAAGCACACATCAATGTAGAATTTTGTAACTCTGTCAAATCAATAAAATATATATGCAAATATATTAACAAAGGTAGTGACATGGCCATGTTCGCTGTTGCTAAAACAAATGATGAAGTTTCTGAGTATCAGATGGGTCGCTACGTAAGTAGCAATGAAGCAATTTGGAGAATTTTTTCTTTCCCAATACATGAAAGACACCCTTCTGTAGTCCATTTGGCAGTCCATTTAGAAAATGGACAAAGAGTATATTTTAACCCCGTTAATGCCGTTGATAGAGCGGCGCATCCACCTCCAACAACATTAACAAGTTTCTTTTCAATTTGCCAAAGAGATGATTTTGCCCGTACTTTGATGTATGCTGATATGCCGCGCTATTACACATGGAACGCATCATCAAAGTCGTTTCAACGTCGTAAAAAAGGAACACCGGTTGAAGGATATCCAAATATATTTGCTACAGATGCTATAGGGCGCATTTATACAGTACATCCAAATAATGATGAATGTTACTACCTTAGGTTATTGCTGGTTAATGTTCCTGGACCGACATCATTTCAGCAATTGAAAACAGTTGATGGACATCTTTGTGCGACTTACCGTGAAGCATGTCACATGTTGCAGTTGCTCGAAGACGATTCGCATTGGGATAATACGCTCAAGGATGCCATAATATCCTCATCTCCGCATCAAGTGCGTACATTGTTTGCGATTATAATTTCAACATGTTTTCCCTCAAATCCGAAAGATTTGTGGATCAAATACAGAGATGACATGTCTGAGGATATTTTACATAGTGCGCGTTGTCAAACATTCAATCCAGCACTACAAATTACTGCAGAAATTTATAATAAAACTTTGATCATGATAGAGGATATGTGTTTATTGATGGCGAATAAAATATTATCATGTTTGGGCCTAACAGCACCAAACCGTTGTGTAGAAGATGCATTTAACCATGAGTTAAGAAGAGAGCAACAGTATGATATTAAAACATTGACTGAAATAGTTCGCACAACTGTTCCAAAGTTGAATGATCATCAAAGGATTGTATATGATGATTTGATACAAGCAGTGAACAGTGGATCCGGAGGGATTTTTTTTCTTGATGCTCCTGGTGGTACTGGCAAAACATTCCTGTTATCATTGCTATTGGCAAAGATCAGATCGCAAAATGACGTAGCTCTAGCATTGGCATCATCAGGAATTGCAGCAACATTGTTAGAAGGCGGACGAACTGCACATTCAGCATTGAAGTTACCTCTTAATATGCAAATTAATGAAACACCAGTTTGCAACATCAGAAAAACTAGCGCCATGGCCAAGATACTTCAGACATGCAAATTGATTATCTGGGACGAATGTACAATGGCTCACAAGAGGTCACTGGAAGCACTGGACAGAACACTGAAAGATTTGCGTGACAATCAAAATATATTTGGTGGAGCAATGATTTTGTTGTCAGGTGATTTTCGCCAAACTCTTCCAGTTATACCGCGATCAACTGTTGCTGACGAACTAAACGCAAGCCTAAAATCATCAAATCTGAGGCGTCATGTTAAGAAACTGCAGTTAACAACGAACATGCGAGTGGTTTTGCAACAAGATGAAACAGCAAAAGTGTTTTCAAAGCAGTTACTAAATATTGGAAATGGTAATGTCGCAGTTGATGCCTCGAGCGGGTTAATCACATTTCCCGCAGATTTTTGTAGCTTCACAAACACAAAGGAGGAGCTTATTCACTGCGTATTTCCAAATATAAACCAACAATTTCACGATCTCAATTGGCTGAGCGAACGAGCGATATTGGCGGCAAAAAATAAAGATGTCGACGATCTCAATGCAACAATACAAAGTTCACTTCCAGGGGAATGCATTACTTATAAATCTGTAGACACCGCTACAAATCAGGATGATATACTGAACTATCCTACAGAATTTCTAAATTCATTAAAATTGCCTGGGCTGCCACCACATAATTTACAATTGAAAGTAGGATCAGTTGTCATCATGCTACGTAATTTAAATCAACCCATACTATGCAATGGAACAAGATTGGTTGTAAAAAAGCTAATGAATAATGTAATTGTGGCAAAAATAATTAAAGGTAAATACAAGGGACAAGATGTATTGATCCCGCGAATTCCTATGATCCCAACGGATTTACCATTTGATTTCAGGCGTTTACAATTTCCAATACGCCTCGCTTTTGCAATGAGCATCAACAAATCGCAAGGACAGTCGCTGCAGGTTTGCGGTATCAACTTAGAGTTTCCATGTTTCGCACACGGCCAATTATACGTTGCGTGTTCGCGCGTCGGGAAACCATCATCCTTATTCATTTACGCACCGCAAAAAAAGACCAAAAAGCTTTATATTGAGTCCAAAACATTCGATTCATAAGCAAATGTATAAAATATTTTATATATGAAATATAAAAAAGGTATTTTTGATAATTAAAATATAGTATATATGAAAGGTACGCATTAATTCCAACCAAATGTGTTAATTATTTCATATACAAGATTTAATTAATTTTTATTAATGATTATTTATGTGATACGAAGTTCACCGGGTCAGCTAGTATATATATATATATATATATATATATATATATATATATATACAATTCTTGTGTAAGTTTATATGAATGGTTAATCCTCCTAAACTATAATTCGGATTTTCATGAATCTACTTGAAGTTTGTTCGGGAAATTTTTTAGAATTTTTAGATTCATAGAAATATCGTTAGATTGTAGAAATAAATGGAAAAAAATATAAAAAAACGCTTATCATTGTTTGACCTTGAAAATATTTAAGGCATGGTTTGACATTAAAAACAAATGACAACTGTCATTTGCCAAACATTTTTATTCACTTATAGGCTAAGGCAATATTAAAATATAATAAATTCATGATTATAAATAAAGAAAATGTAATGTCTACATTATTATTGTCGGAAAGCAGCTGAGAAGTGCCAAAATTAAAATGATATAAGACGCAAATAATATAACATGCGTCTCTAGTAGTAAAGGCTCTAGAGAAAAAAGGACAATTATGGATCAATAAACCCGAACGTATCTACGCAACCTTGGTTTAAAAAAATAAAACAAAATAGAAAATACATTACAAATATATGTAGGATCCGACTAGATCACTGGAGATTTGGAAAGCACCTAAACAAAATTAAGATGATCAATTCCCCGACATTTACATGTGGATATGAAGAAGAATCCCTTAACCACATCTTTTTTGGATGTCCTCGATATCAGTCTACAAGAGAAAAATTTTAAGAGTAGCTTCAAAAAGTGAAAATCGATTTTCCGGCAATTACTTATAATTAGTTCTGAGAACATATATAGTATTACAAGCTGACCCGGCAAACGTTGTTTTGCTAAGAAAGGTATATTCTAAACAATTTCTAGAGAATCAAAAATATTAATACTTTAAGTGTATAAGGATGTGTTGTTTGAATGCTATATACAATGAGATATTATAAAAACAATAAGCCCCATTAGTTTGTCTATGTTTTGTCAATACAATCAAACTGGAAGCTTTATACACTTTCTATAGAAATCATGGTATAATCCAATCCAAGTCTTTTTTGGTATTTCGACTTATTGATTACGTTGTAAGCTTTTCAGATTCTTCTGGATTCTGGATTTTGTGTATAATTGTCGAATAAAGGTCGAATTTGAGTTTGAGCAACTATAAATTTTATTATGAAAATCAAACCAATTTTATCATAACAAATGACACATTTCAAACAAACAATTATCTGACTACGTTCGGTAAAACTACCAGCTACTTCATTAATGTAAAAATGTGCGTTTTTCTGTCTTTCAAATATTTGTTATAGAGACCTTTTAACCCTATAGGCGGGGTAACTTGGAACGGCCAGATGGCAAACAGGTTTAATGTCTTATTTTAATTTTAGAGGTATTTTACAAAATAATTTCACTTTTAACTAATAAAGAAAATACTTTTATTATGAATTTTCAAAGATTACAGTTTATCTCCAGATAGCAAAGTCATAAGAGTCAAAGTTATAGCTGCTTATAAATTTTTTCCCTCTACTTTCAAATATTGTTGTTGAACAATGCTTTAGCTTTACTGGTTTTTGACACTTTGGTCGTGGAACTTTTAACCCCGTACCAGCACGCGCCATCAGAGCAATAGTTATATATATGATGTACTTACTTTCCCATTTTATTTCAATGCCAAGTTTACTAACAATATAAAACAAACACCATTTGTTGGTAACCGGCCATCCTTAATCCTCGATAATCCTACCTTTCCTGTTACCACAGTAGAGTTACCACATATCATTGCGTTGTGTATAGCAAATTCACAAAATTCACAAGTTATTCATTTAATATTTGATATTTATTCCAAACAAGAAATAGAATTAGAACTAAGCATCTTTTGATAAATATTTTGTTTATGATTAGATTATTAAAAATATATATTTGCGGATAAAAAATTATTTTTGAGCATTCCTATTCAAACCTCACGCCATCAGTAAAAGCATTTCGGGCAATACTAATAATTTTTTTATTTATTTATACTTGAACATTTATTAAATTGAAATAATTTTAACATATATCAAAATAATTAGTACGTAATTTCCATTTTTATTTAATTTTTTTTTTAAATAAAAACTTTGAAAAAATGAGATTTTTGAAATTTTTTTTAAAAAAAATAGACTTTTTTGATAAATTTGAATTTTTTTGTCTCGAAATTTTTTTTGAAAATTTTGAATTTTTTTAAAGCACTCATGCTACGCGGCTATTTCAGAGAACAGACACCGAAGCGCGTAAGCGCCGCGTCGCAGTATCACAGATAAAAAAAATGTTAACAAAATGTACACTTATTAAAATTTCTAAAATATAAGATAATTTGATGTAACGATTCTCTCTCAATATAAATATAGCCTTTGATAGCCTTCACAAAAAACGACCGATCGATATATCACAATTGCAATTTTAAACAAACATCTACACCACATTGGTTTATTGTCAAAGCGGGGATGTTGGCAGGGATTTATATAGAATATTGTTGCAACATCACATGCTTACTGGGTAGTGGGTAATTCATAAATATATTTAATACAGCAAATCAAGAAAGAGAAAACGTATCAGTTTTACATTTAGAGGAGTTTCAGGTTAACCATTAGAACTTTGTCTACCCCATACAGGACACCGATAAGGTGTGAGTATACTGAGGAACAATACAATAAATTGCAGAAAAAAGCTAGGAATGTTATTGAATGAACATTTGTAACTCCATTTAGTTGCATATATGATACATATCAGTTTATAAACTGTTACTGTTTTAGTTGATAATTTGAGTGTTTGATTGTAGTGTTCCAGATTGATATGAAAAACATAAAGGCACTTACGTTAAGAATCTGTTACCCAAATTACCTCGAACAGCCATGCAGCCAAAACATTCACAATACCTTTCATCATGAATAGTGTTTCATTATCAACATCTGAAATTATAAAACATTATATTGGATATATACAAATATAATTATGAAAATCTGATGAAAAGAAAGAAAACATGAAATGCTCATATAAGAAATTGTTAAAATATAACTAGCATATGCATTGAAACAATATCGATAAAAAAAATTAGTGAATACGTACTCAATAAGCTGATAAATGATTCAAACGTTTAGTTTAAACTTAAATCAATAAGCAATAAGCAAGAAGCAAAAAGCAAGAACGTTGCAAACGAATATTTCGCAAATAAAATAAAAGAGAATGCAGAATAGAAAGCTGTCAAATGTTCTTCACAGATTTAATAAATACACGAAACTACGACACACCAAAATACTAACCGAAAGCCTGCAAATAATTTTATCGCCAATTTAGGTCATCAATCGTACATTAAAACACTGAATTTAAACAGAATCAAATTGACATAATAAAAACACATGGTTGAAAATAATGCAAAGTGATTCACCGCACGACATAGATTACAAAGCAAGCAAACAGAGAGCGGAGTAAGTTGTAAGGGTGCCGGCACACCTTGCCATACCGTTCATTCAGCGCTCACGCGGCTCCAAACGCAAACTAATCTAAGATTTCGTCAAATGCAACTTTGATTAGATAGCAAAATAACTATTTTAAATGCAGAGATAATAAACAAGAATGTCTCGTAAATGAATTTTAATCGTAGGAAATTAGTTTTCTCTATTTTTTATATCAGTATATATATTTTATGTTTTTAGGAATATTTTGTTTGCAAAATATTAGTTTTTTTTTTAAATTATCTGTACGTTTTTTCTTTTTAAATTCTTATTCCTGCTAAATTTGTCATTCCATCGCCAATATTCCTGCGCTTTTCTTTTATTAGTTTTTGAGTTTTTAATATGTTATTATTAGTCATTAAGTAATTAATATTAATAAGTTATTTCTCTTTAATTTGTAGTACTTTAAAAATATGTCTGTAATATATTTTAATTAATATTTGTCAGTTATTTCTGTCTAGTTGATAATTCTTCAAAAATATGTCTTTGATATATTTAAAAACATATTTTGTAATTCGTACGTTTTGTTCTTATTTCCAATATTAATTCTTTTTCCGATTTTTTGGCTGTATTGATTATATGTACAAATGTAAAAGTAATACCAGAGGTTAATTTACAAAGTGTACATGTGCCGCCATCTATAATCAAAGTTGCGCATTTCAATCAAGTTAGTAAAATAAAACATATGACATATGACATTTAATCAATCGAGAATCCGCGATTGTCGACAACGTTCGCTCAGCAAGTGACGCCACAGACCCTTCTATATTTGAGCACTATATGCAACGGAAAACATATGAAGAGTAGCAGTCCATGTAGTGTAATGTCTATGGTAAATCCCAATATTATTATTGAGTTGCTGTAGTCTTGAACAAACGATGATGAGTTTAGTACCATCCAGAATTTTTTTAACTTCCCGGAGGCAAGTTATAGTAATCGCAAAAAAATGAAAAATGAAAATTTTTATATACCTTTACGTTTCAGAGGTTTCTGAATATTTTGGCATACCTTAGAAAAAATGTATACGTGTGTGTGTATGCGTTTGTGTGTGTGTTCGAATACAAATTTTCGTCGACGATTTCGGGAACACGGATGAAGCGATTTGAATAATGCAAAAAAACATTAGATTCGTATTGATAAGGAGACCTGATTAGTTTTTGGCGAAGGCAGGTCAAGCCGTTCCGAAGATATGGGGTAAAAAGTGCCAAAAACGG